TCTGTTTCCACACTGCAGCTCTGAGATTATAATTGTGAATGCTAGAAATCTGAAATTTAAATGTAAATTGCTGGAGCAATTCAGCAGGTCTGGCAGCATCTTTTTTTAATTTATTCATTAACGGGATGAGGGCGTCGCTGGCTAGGCAGCATTAATTGCCCATCTCTAATTGCCCAGGGGGCAGTTGAGAGTCAACCACATTGCTGTGGGTCTGGAGTTACGTGTAGGCCAGACCAGGTATGGATGGCAGCTTCCTTCCCTAAAGGACATTAGTGAAGCAGATGGGTTTTTCCCGACAATCGACAATGGATTCACGGTCATCATTAGATTCTTAATTCCAGATATTTTATGGAATTCAAATTTTAAGATCTGCTGTGGTGAACCTAGGTCCCCAGACATTATCTGGGTCTCTGGATTAACGGTCTAGCGATAATACCACTAGGCCATCGCCTCCCCATTCTCTCTGTGGAGAGAAAGCAGAGTTAACATTTCAGGTCCAGTGACCCTTCTTCAAAACTCTTCACAGATACTGCCAGACCTGCTGAGTTTCTCCAGCAATTTCTGTACTTCTTTCAGCATATGAATATGTTCCACCAAGGCCTTGTTCAGTACACCTTGCAGAGATTGGAGAAATGCAAGAGCAAAAGACCCTAGTCACAATGTGGTATTGCAATATTGTCATCATCCTCTGATCTCGCCATTGTAAAAGTAGTTATAATGTAGTGTGTCAACATGCACAAAAACTAAGATGTTCAGGTTCTTTTAAAAGAACAACTGTGCCCAAACTGATATTCAAGGCATCCCCGAAATTGTAACAGTCTTTTAGATAATATTAACTATCATTGCATTGTGACGTGTAGAATTTTGCTGTATGGAAAAGGGTCATTTGGCCTAATTAATCTGCATCAGCTTCCATGCATCTCATTTGACTTCACTTTATTAACATATCCTCTTATTCTTTTCTCCCTCTCAGTAGTGTCATGTCACGTGAAATTGCTACATCATTCCATGGTGTCAATGTTTATTCAATATAAATTGAATCTCGATGATTTATGATCAATGATAAAAAGCAAGTGACAAAATTAATTCATAACCTTTGTAAAATAATGTAAATAATTGGATTATGTAGGTATGTAAAACAAGTAGCAAAAGATTGCACAGTGAAGCTATATTAAACTGTGTAATAGAAGGTTCTGGGGCAGTTAATAAAATGTTGAAAGCATCAGAATGAGAGCTTTATGAGGAAAATAGAATGTCATGGTGAATAAGTAAGTCAAGAGCAAAAACAGAAGTTGCTGGAAAAGCTCAGAAGGTCTGGCAGCATCTGTGGAGAAAAAAATTAGGAATAGGGTCCGGTGACCCTTCCACAGAACTGAAATGTTAACTCAGATTTTTTTTTTCTCCACAGACGCTGCCAGACCTGCTGAGTTTTTCCAGCAACTTCTGTTTTTGTTCCTGATTTACAGCATCCGCAGTTCTTTCGTTCTTTTTAAGTTAAGTTGAGAGCTAACAAGCTTTTGAAGTATTGCACAGTATTAATACTTATATTGACAGAATGGGCTTGAAACAGTTCAGATATATAGGAAGAGGATAACAGCATTCAGATCATAAATGAATGATTTAAAGCTGCCCTCACTTTGGAGCTGATGAGGAGGAAATCTGACTTGGAGCAACTACTCTGCAGAGCAGCAATTGTCAATTCTTACAGTCAGTGCAGACTTACTTGGACTATTCAAATAAAATGTTGATTGCGCATGCTGTTACATTGGCAATGGGTCAGCATTTTGGATTAAATTATATAGATGGTAAATGATTAATGTTTGCAACTGATAACAGTAAAGGAAATGCAATGTTATTTCCAAGGTGAACCTATCTTTCAGTTTAGCCAAAAATTCCTGCAGTTGCACTATCTTGGCATCTACTTATTTCCTGAGGGTTCCCAAGCATTTCACCTCTAATGCACCAGCAAGAAGTTGATGTGGTGTATTAATTACTCTATAAACAAAATGCATTCTGAATTTGTCTCTCACTAGTTTTAATTTCTTTTGTTGTTTTAGATTAGATTAGATTCCCTACAGTGTGGAAACAGGCCCTTCGACCCAACAAGTCCACACCAACCCTCAGAGCATCCCGCCCAGACGTATCCCCCCATAACCCACCTAACCTACACATCCCTGAACACTATGGGCAATTTAGCATGGCCAATCCACCTAGCCTGCACATCTTCAGACTGTGGGAGGAAACCAGAGCACCCGGAGGAAACTCGCGCAGACACGGGTAGAATGTGCAAACTCCACACAGACGGTCGCCTGAGGGTGGAATTGAACTCGGGTTCTTGGCACAGTGAGGCAGCACTGCTATCCACTGAGCCACCGTGTCTTCTGTTCTTGTAATTTAGGTTGAAGTGTGTTTCAAACTTACCTTTTCTAACCCTTTACTATCTTGTACCTTGAGAATCACCACTGTTCAAGGTTGAAAAGCTCAAATTTCTCAGGATCGGTTTGTGGCTTTTTTTCTCCAGCTTACTTATCAATCACAAGAACTGAATACGCTACTCAAAGTGCAGTTTGACTAGATTATTTTGTGGTTTGAAATTATTTCTTCCAATTAGTATACTGTCTTCGTTACATACTCCAGAATTTTCTTTGTTTGCTGCTGATTGATTTAACATATTAAGCATCAAGTCTGCTAAGACGTTCAATTTTACTTCAACCTCATCTTTAATAATTTTGGTGTTATTCATGAAGCATTTGTATCAATCTTCTTTTTCCTTCATGGAAAGCTTCGCACTTCTTAATAAAGAGCATGTTCATTGGCCTGCATAGTTTAACATTTGCCCAATTCCTTTTACATTTCTAAAACTGCTTATGAAATTGAACTAAATCTCTTAGTTTGATGTTTTGACCAGACCACGTTGGGTTTCAGACTGCAAATTGTTAAGGTAGATTACAAATAACAATGGTCCTGACACATGGTCCTGGAGCTGAGTGCTTGCTGCCACACTA